TTTCACAAGTACTTTACATACATAATAGATCAAAAGAAGAAAAAGTAATACAATTAATAGACCTCTATGATTTGTTGAATTTTATATTCGTATAAAAGATAATTAGTTGATTTTTAACGTGATAGAATTTCATAAAATAATCAAATCAATAATGATATTTGTTTACAATCTGTAACGCAAAGAAAAAAAAACGACTCACTCGTAAAAAAAAGTAAAACAACTTGAAATATGTAGTGGATTTGTCTTCTGATTATATTTATGTATGTTTTATAATTGTCAATCAATCTTTTATTTTTTTATTTTATTTTTCTCTATTGTAAATTGAGTCTTGGCAACGGTGCTTGATCAGTAATACGATACTATTTGGATCAACGAAAAAACACGGATATAAAATGTACTAATTACTTTTTTTCTTACAAAAATAATTTTAACAGATGACGCTAGAAATCGTTTTAAAAAAAATGAATATTCATTCTCAGAATTGAAAAACAAAAAATAGTAAACAATACATAAAATGATTATATTTTCATAAGAAGAAAAATTTTTTAAATGAAATTCTGAAACTATTTGTCATTGCGTCTTCGGAGAATATCCTCGGAAACTCGATTATGTCCTAGGGTAAGAGGTATATAGATATATAGGTATAGGAGCTATAGAGGTATAGGAGATATAGAAGGTATAGGAGGCATAAGAGATATAGAAGGTATAGGAGGTATAAGAGATATAGGATGTATAGAAGATATAGGAGATATAGGAGGTATAGGAGATATAGGAGGTATAGGAGAATATCTCCTATACCTCTATACCTCTTATACCTATATATCTATATGCCTCTTATCCTAGGACATAATCGAGTTTCCGGGGATATTCTAAAAAGACATCATATGCTAAACTTGTTTTCACAGCTACCACTACTAAAGTGTCATTAAAATTAATTGTGACTTTATGGTTATGACAGTCTGTTTTTCAAAGACAAGGGAGACAGTAGTTCACTCACATAACTTACATGTTTAGTCACAATACTTTTGTTATATTCTAAAAGAAATAAACACTATATTTATTTTATAAAATATCATCAAGGATCACTTACGAGAAAAATTAGATAATTTTAAATACATTTCTCATATGTATCATATTCATTATTGAACTAATTGAAATATAAATACTCGTTGATTCAAATAACATAAATCATATCATATCTATGACATATCAGTTGCCAAATATTAAATATGAAAAAATATAAACTGAAACGAAAAAGATTAACCAACCAATATCATTTTTTGATTCAATTCAAAATCTCAAAACAAAACAAAACATATAAGGAATATGAAAAAAGAACTAATTTGTTAACATCTTCTTATATTTATTAAATGATTCAAGATCACAAATTCTACAAATTAAAACAATTCCAAGAACGTTCGTAATAAAAACAATTTGTCGATATATAACCAATCATTTAACATCATCATCATCGACATAAACCTTTAAATATATACTTTCAAAAATTTAGATTTCATGATTCAGTTAATGTCCTTATATCTCCATCATTGAAATAGAAATTCAAATCTGTAGATCATATAATAAACCCTCTCGTACTTGAAATTTCAATTTAACCAATCATTGCATGTCCCGACGTCCCCATCATCCCATCATTCAAATGAAGAATCAAATCTATAGATAATAGAAATTCTCGTATTTGAAATTTCGATTCAACCAATCATTCAATGTCCCGACGTCCCCACCATCCCGTCATTCAAATAAAAAATCAGATCTATAGATAATAGAAAGTCTCGTATTTGAAATTTCGATTCAACCAATCATTCAATGTCCCGTCGTCCCCATCTTGCCATCATTGAAATAAAAAATCAGATCTATAGATAATAGAAACTCTCGTATTTAAAACTTACATTTAATGATTCATTCAATGTCCTGATGTCCAATTCACTGAAAAAAATGAAACTACCATAAAGATAAACATCAAAACAAAGCAAACTATTTTATCAACAAATACTCATAAATAATAACAACAGAATCGAAATTATCTACAACAAAAGCTGATTATAATACAACTTAATAAACAGACTTTTCTCATAAGTATATATCAACATAACAACCCTTCATACATATTTACGAGTTACAATTACGAACAACAACAAATTGACATAAAATTTGAAAATACAAAACAAACTTTCTTACTCATTTATTGACAAAACTTTTTACTACAAAAATAAGTATTTAACATTGATTCCAATCTCAACTAAATTCTAAACTCAACTGCCACATATATATAGTAAATTACTAGCTCTATCATATTATCCTCTAAACAAGAGCTAACAAGAACTTTTTTCAAAATCTCAATAAAACGTTGATCAAGTTGCCAAGCTAAGTTGAAGTATAATGTCAAATAATACAAAACTAAGAAAAATACCGCCTATATAAAGTGCTGTTATTTAATCGATCAATTCCATCTCATTGCCTATTTAATCTACTAATAATTTAGGTCGAAAAAAAAATCACTATTATGAACAAGATGAAAAGTTTGATAGAGTGATGAAGATATTTTCCATGCTTCTTGTCCTATTTATAATAAAATTTAATTATAAATCTATACAGAAATTGATATACTTGAAATTGAAAACGATCTATTACCATTATTAATGACTAGCGCTCTACTAGAATTCCACTTTGACTAGCAGATGGGATTCTTGCCCAAAAAGTTCTCTTTCCTATTGTTGTTGAAAATTGTTCTTCACCATATACACCAGCTCATGATGGAGTAACTGATGTTCCGGAATGTGCTCCTAATTGTTGTTGATGCTGACTTTGTGGTGGAAACGAATGAATTTGTGCAGATGGTGATAGATGATCACGAATATAAACAGAAATAGTTATACGATAGCCTAGAGGCGATCCACAACAATATACTTCTAAATTAGCAGCATGTTTATTTATACATTGTTGTTATATCTAAGAAAATTGAAGATGTATGTAAAAACGTAAAAGAAAAGAAAATGTAATTATCTTGTTTTTTATCGTTCCATCATCGATTGAAATTGATATATCAATATTAACTTGAGACAGTTTGTCTCCTTTAACGGTATTATGTACTCATTATGGTCTCATGATGTTTAAATCAGATAAGAAGACAATCAAGAAGTCGAAAATCTGCGTAATCTTTATGCCACTTTAATTTCAATATTATACATCGATCCATCTCCATCTTACAAAATGATGATATAAAAAATAACAGATAGCACTCATTTTTTTATGGAAAAATAGACGCGCTTCATTCACTCTTACTTAGAAGAGCAACTAAACTTCATGTCGTTTAATTTTAACTTTACGAAACATTTCGAAAGACCGTAACTTTTGAAAATCTTCAATCAACTACCATACAAGTTTTATTTAATCTACTTGGTATTAATATTCAAAACTCATTATGAGTGTTGTTTTTAACAGAACTAATCTCGTTCATCATTTCTTATGACTATTATATTTTCATCTAGTAATAGATACATGACTGTTAAGATTAGCTTTGAAAGATATCAACATATGTTGCCAGATATATTCATGAATTAAACATCAAAACACATCGTATGGTATCAAACGATTCAACATTTTGTTTTGCATTGAGATACTTTGTCGTTAAAAAGAATAAATAAATCTAATAGAAGTAGAATGATTTGTTGTTTTGGCGCTGTTCTTCGGTTTCTGTAAATGGTGAGAACATTTTCTTTTAAAAGAACGTTTATTGACAACAATACACTAATGTCTGAATGACGAATACGTGAATAATTAATAGAAAAATATTGATTTTATACCAGATTAAAAAAACAATTTAATACGAAGGGCGAAATGCATCACTGATCTTAAGTAAAAAAAAAGTTACTTTGGAAACTATGGTTTGATTTGTATGTACATGTCTGAGATACAATGAAGTATATAGTTCATAGTTGATTTCATATGTAAGTTTACAAAAGATTGGTTCGACATTAGTGGAAAATTTTAATCTTTAAATTGGATTACAAAAAAATGTTAATTTGGCTCTTGTTTATCATATGATCGATATGCCGTTAATGTACATGATTTTATCGATCTATTGTTCGTCTAACGACCAAAAGTTAGGAAACTATCGCCCGAGTTATCGAGTGACCTACGCCATTTTAAGATCACTATTTCACATTTTAAAATAGCGTGGTAATACACTAGTATGAATATAACTAATACAGCGATTATAAATGCTTCAACCAACACATTTTTGTATTCACACCGTTATCTGTCTATCTTTTAGTTCTTAGTTAAGAAACAATTGCTATACAAAATATATAAGAAAAAAACATTAAGTAAAGTCTATGAAGCTCGTAGAAACGATGCCTATTTATCATCTTCTTTACAAACATATGTTGCACCACCAGTTTTTCATTATATTAAGTAACTCATATCATACATAACAATAGTCAACTATAGGGTCTATTATTAGGCAAACATATTTGAATCCCAATAACACAAATAATATTCTTCGACAATTTGACTATCAACGCTTTTTAATGAATTATTTCTACTTCTTCTCGTCGTTTTAATTCTATCGATCAATAAGAAAATTGAATATAATGACTGTAGAGTTTAAGCCGAAAAATAATATTTAGATGATGTCAACAGGAATCGTTCAATCTATGACTGTTTGTTCTACAGTATGCAATCAACTCTCGTCTGTGTTTGTTACATATTCGATTATGACTTAATATCAAGACGACATCGGTTGTTCGAAGGTGATTCTACAACTGGATCAATTATTTCATCAAGTTCTCTTATTAATAATGTTTACATTTCATCAAGTTTTTATTCATTAATTCAAAATCAAACTTGTTAAATACATCAACAAAATTGATTTGAAAAAAAAAATGTAAATCTTCTTTTGTATGTTTTTCTTATGGTTGTTTTATTTTGTTCACGTAGAGTTGACCAATGAAATAATCTCAAAGTTATTGAGTAGAATAATTTGTAGAAAAAAAAATGTTCCATAAAACTCAGACGTTGGTTAACTATTCTCCTGTATGTTGCATTTTCTAGAACAAAGACTTTACTATGAGTATGACTTCATATATTTCTTTACCATAAAAAGGTTTTATAGATGCAATCGCATCAAGAACAAAGTCGTATCGCCCATCTTGTGAATCTGTAAGATTACCACGTTGTTGAAGTTGTTTTAAACCATTAAGTTCTCGTTGATATTGTTCGTACTAAAAAAAAAACAATATTTTATATATTTGATTGTTGTACAATTTAATATTTACAACAACAAGAATTATATTATCAGGCTGGTATTTCATTGACGTGATAAACTCGTTTTCTTTATAATCGATGTTATTCATCTAAAACTGTTCAATGCACTAGTCTCTGCACACAAAAAACACGTGAATATCTATTCACTACACTAGTTCCTCTATACAAAACACATAAATATGTATTCACTGCACTAGTCTCTCGACACAAAACAAGTGAATGCGTATAAAGAAGTATTAGAATTAGTTCATTTTTCTCTGTCAGTTTTGCGCGTTCTCTTACGTGCTTCATTTTTCTCGGCTTATTGAATCATATTATCATCTTTTTCTCTTTAAGGCCACACCCCCCCCCCCCTCAAAAATCGATCTCAGCCCAGGTACGTTCAAATGGGCTGAAATTTGGAGCATATGTTGGGGCTGATGTGTGGATGCTGTGGTAAAATTTTCAGCTCGATACCCTGATGTTTGACAGAGATATGAACCAAGCAAGGGTCAAAAATAGCCCATTTGGCAATCCATTTTTCTCTGTCAAAGCTCATTCAATATATTTAAATTTTTTTTTTGTTTGAAAGAGCATCTCAAGATGCAGTGCAGTACAGAGTCCTTTTTTTTAAATTATTATCTTTTAAGCGGAGAAAAGGGCTGACAAGTTCAATGACTCAAAAAAACGCGCCAAAAATGGTGGTCTGTTTATATAAGTGTTTGTATATATAATAAAAAACAAGCTTAATTTAAAAAAAAGGACTCTGTACTGCACTACATCTTGACGTGCTCTTTCAAA